TTTATTCCCTGGAGTGACTAAGAGGAAATTTCTCCTTACAATACCAATACATAATCAAACAGACAGGTGTAAAGGGGCATACCACCTGATTTAATACCAAATTCTTAAATTTCACATCATAAGAAATTTATGGTAGACAGTTAAGAGAATTACGAAAGATATCATCGGTGTAAGGGTCTGTTGAATCCGGAGGTGATCTAAAACATACTTTGAAATTCTCGTGTTTGTGAATCAACTCTTCCAATCAATATTGCATCGGTTTGAGTAAAATTCAATTGCATTTCCCTCGTAATCCTTAAAACACGATGATATGAAGTATAAGCGTGTTGTATTTGAGATGAAAGCTTCTTGGTTATAAAACGTTTGGATCGCGCCATATGCTAAACAGAAAATTCTGAATTCAGTCGTTTATTTACTTATCTCTTAGGGTAGGTTTATCTGAATGGTTTCCTGTTGTCCAGTAATTTAGTCACACAAAACTGATTTGAATAAGCTCTTCCTAACGTCTAATTCAAGTTTTCATTCAAATGGAGTTTGAACTGGACGTCACGTCATGTTATCATTATGCCAAATTGGGCTATAAAATCAACGGATGGAGCCGTGGCGTGCGGATAATTCAAGTACAGACTATTTGAATCTTAAAAGCATGGAATTTGTTTTACAGTAGAACTCCCCAGGCGTCATAATCTCCAATAAAAACTACAGTTCTTCGATCGGACTAGGGTCGTGGCTATGTCCCACACAATGCAATCGTTTATTGCCGAATACCTGACCAGATGTCTAAAGCCCCACGCGATGAAAACTGTCCCTTCAGAAAAAGCACAAATTCATTGCCTTAGGCAATCATATGGCTAGGCTTTTAAAAGCTACAAGAAAAGGTGAAAGGAACCGAATAATTTATTTGCGTAGTTTCAACAATCGAAGGGAAGCTGCTAGAATAGCTTTCAACCGCAATAGAGCGGTCCATAGCTAAATTAAAACTTAGCTCTGAGAAAACCTAATTTGCATGCGACACTAACTTGATTACGTTATTTTTCGTACCCTTCCCGACAGTAAATTGCTTTGCCGCAAAAGTTTTTTTTTTTTTTTGCAATTGCATGGAGCTGGAATAGTTCTGTAAATCCAGCATTTTTGGTAAACACCTGTTTAAATATCACGCTTAATATTGCATGTTAATTGTGAACATTTCTGGTATGATGCAAAGTGTTGCGGGAACCAAACAGCCCTCATTAGCAAGCTTAGCGGACAACTTGCGATGCGTAGTTAAGTCCTGTTGAAGTTTGCCGCCATTTTTTAGCTCAAAATATATTATACTTTAGTGGTTTCGTGCTGATTTGAAATACATGATTTATGTGGTCGGGAAGCGTTTTGTGTTCCGTTTAAACCAATCGATAGATATTTATAACAAACCTCTCAAATAGATCACATAAAAAAACCGTGGTATTCAAGCATTAACCCTAAAGTTCAACTTTTGAGTACTACCTTTTCATGTGAGATTTTTGAACTTAAGGACTCGACATGTTATGTTTAAAGTCAATTTGTGCGATTCGTCGATCGTGTGATGTATGAATCATCCCTTTGCATTCTGGGTACTAAAAGGATCGATTTTTAAATGTAGTGTACATTAGCACTGCAGTGGGTCAATTCTCTTCGGCGAAAAACTTCCAACTTTCACGCTTGGTTGAGATTCGATCTTTCGGAGTGCTTGCAGATTCGAAGTAAATCAGGAAGTATCATTATTAGGTAAGCCGGCAGTGCTCTTTTAAAAATATGGTCTTTACTGCTTAAATCTTAGTCCAAAAATAATAACCACAAGAAGCAAAGAAACTGATTAACCTGATTTATCTTGTTCTCGATCTAAATTATAAATTCCTCATTCCCTCTAAGAAGGAAAATTGGTTCTTCGTTAAAAAAAAAAACTTCTAAAAATTCGTCCGTTTGGATCGTTTTATATACGAAGCCGAGAGTTGAATGGTTTTTTTTTTACCTCAGCTAACATCCATTCGTGACTTCGTTGATTTTGATAAGATCAAATTGAATTGAAACGTAAAATGAGAGTGGAGAGAGGATGTGAAAATGAACCAAGAAAATTTCTGCAATGTGTTACCGTTGCTTTCCAGTAATTATTTTTACACAGTAACAGAATGAATAGAAATTACTCGTAACGAGTCATATTTTTATTTCCCTAGAACAAATCAAACCCAATATCCATCTAAATTGGTCTGAATTTCTTAACAAACTCAGCTACGTCTTTTTCAATGTCAAGATAGTTGGAAATTCATGGATTAAAATTGAAATTATTTGCATGATTATGACACTGAGACCAACATTAAAAAGAGTATTTCAAAAACTAGAAAATATTTTTTGTAAAAGGCTTTGTACCGGATTACCACAAATCATTTCTCCTCTTCTTCTTCCAAACAAAAATTCATTTTCTTTTGTTCTCAATTGTCAATTGTCAATTGTCGTCAATTCGTTCTGTACGTGTTGGCTTCACGTTTCTTGTGCACCTGATGCTAATAAATTGAAAAAACTTCCGTTTCTATACGCTGCTTGTTTATTGAATATGATCTGGACGGCTTTTTAAATGATGCCCCTCATCTACGTTTTAATACCACTGCCACAGAGAACTTAAAATATTTTTCTGTCTCAAGGCTGCATCAACCAATCACAAGCGGCTGGGGAATGAAAATAAATCATTTTAAAAACCCCTCACATGTAGGATTTCCTGATCTTCTTTTTTCTTCAATGAATCAGACAGGTGTTTCGTGAAGAATATTCATCGATTACTACGATCTCAAAGAGAATTTTGTCGTCATTTTCTAGGAAGAAATCAAAAGCATTTCTTAGGGAATTTCACTGAGATACGGCAGAGCACAGGACGCGAGTGCTTACCATCAAAAGAAAAACAATGCAAGATACAAATTCCCGAGACAAAAATTTTCGGGTGCAAAATGAAATAATTCTCTTCATTCAGACTGACCTTTCAATAAAGATTGTGGGTCGCTGACTTCGATATATATAGTTTATTTTAGGAAATTTTGGTACGTTTTCAGTGGTTTGTTCAGATATATTTACAGCATGGCATTTCCATCTCAAACAAACATATTAAAAATTGAGAACTTGAATTCTCAGCAAACTTTGGGTAATTGTGCAAATTTCTAACAATGGTATTGGTTTTTCTTTTTGTCAGAATAGGCTATCATCAAACTTTTAAGAAGGTCCGTCTTTGCAAAAAACTGAAAACAACAAAACAAAAAAAGAGATGCCGATCAAATATTTGAATTTCTACCTTGTGGCAGAAATGAGATAATTGCTAGACCTTACAGTCGTTCAAATTTCAATGTAAAACGGCATTGGCCTTAGTCTCAGATATATTTTCTGGGCTTTAGATTTGAAAGGAGAAAGGAAAATATTTTTGTTTTCTTTGTCGGGTAATACGTTTGATCCAATGATGCACGTGCCGTGACAAAGCCAGAGCAGCTTTTGAAAATATTATGCGACATCACCTTTATCATTAGGAAGGTAAGTGCAGTTTGGTTGTTATTTCCGTGAAAAATATTACAATGCCTGAACAAATAAAACAAGTTCGCTTTAATTTATTCAAAATTACATTACAAAAAATGTCTACTCAAACTAATAGCATCGATGGACAAACGAAATTACTGTAGAATGATTTCACGATACAAGCACAACAGAATGCAGGTATAATAACAAAAAATACCATAAATTACTTTGGAAGACATCAGTTGATAAGACTTGTAGCTGTTGCTGATAACAAAATTATCAAATAAAACATCACAAATGACTTTGGTAGACATCAGCTGATGACACTTACAGCTGTTGCTGATAAAAAAATAGTACCGCTTGCTTTTAGCAGTTTGTCAAGGTGCGATTATAATTCCTTGAAAAATACAGCTTTTTTACAAATACTTTAGTAGCTTATGCTGACTCTTTGTCGTCATCCGTTTGCTTCTGTCATACTTTTCAACTGTTTTTAGGCTTGACTTGTTTCCTTTAAGCGCCAGAATTAACTTTTCCGTTTGCCTTTAAAACAAACTTGTATTATATTCCGCAAAGTGGAGATAAGAGACTCGATAAAGTTTGCAAGCACAACATCTGTCAAGTCTCCATACTTCGCAAACATATTTTGATTAGCTGAAAAATCATCAAATATTTTTTACGATTACTCGTTGATCTTCATTCGTAACTTTCGGGGTTGATCCACTTAGCTACATTTGTAATTTGATCCACGTAACCATTTGGATCGAACACAACTTGTACGCCCACGAAAACAGTTCACTAAGAAAGTCTATGTCAAATTGGTTGTTTGCATTCCGTTGCCATAACGTCAGATACAAGCAGCGGTGAAATGTTCCAATGGGTCAACCTCGTTTACAAGCAAGATTCATCCAGATAGTCACACCACTTTGGCATGTGCGTATTCATGCTTCTGAGCATGTTCGTAAGAGGGTTTTGGAAATGGCAATGATCATGAGAAAGGTACAACCTCTCTATAAACGAACGAGATCATGTTTGAATAATTGTTTGGAAACATCAGTCTCTACGGCATGGTCCATACACTCTCTTACAGCTACTGTGAGTGGGCAAAAGTAGTTGGCATGTCTTCCCTTATCAGGTGGTCAACAATCCTCAACACAATAAACAAAACTCTTGTAATACATCTGTAATAAGTTATTTGAAAGTCCCCCATTTCCCCAAAAACGTTGCACTAGGCAATAATGAAATGAGGGAGAGGGGAAGACACATGAAAGTTTTAGAAAAAAATTCAAAAAGTAGTGGAGCGTGTAAAGACGTTCGCCATTCATTCCATTATTACCATTAATGGAGAAAACCCGGCGGATCCCTAAACTTTTGGTTAAGGGTTTGAAAAGTGTAGATGAGAAATGTGACATGAAAGATAATGCTCAAGTCCACACAATTCACCAGAGTCAGTAACATTTCATATTCTCAGCAAATTATTTTTTGTTCTCCGGCAGATCAAAGAATGAGCATGGAGGACTTGAATATCAACAAAACAGTTGTTAATGCCACTTTTATATCGGATTCATCTGAGTCTCCAGAGAACTTTCATCAGTCCCTAGAAGCCAAAGTGCTCCAAGCCACTCTGTGGTCAACTGTGGTATTTCTGGGAATTATTGGCAACATCTTAGTGTGCGCTGTAATCCTTGGACTCCCCAAGATGAAGACATCTATGAACTTTTACCTACTGAGCTTGGCCATCGCAGACTTGGGAGTTTTAACGATGCTCGTCCCAATAAATGTGATAAGATACTTCATCCCAGTTCGTTGGGTGCTAGGAAAATTTTTTTGTTTGTATCTATCTCCTACGCTGGAGATCTTCTTTGGAGCGTCCATCTGGTCGATCACAATCATTGCCATTGAAAGATATCGGAATATTTGTGGTGCAAACCGCTACAGGATCAAGAGCAGGTCTCAAATGAGAACTAAACTGACCATATTTGGTGTTTGGCTTGCATCGTTTTTAGTTGGAAGCGTTCCTGTATATCCCGTGATGGCCTACAAGCCCAACCCACCAACCTGTCACCAAATATGGCCCAATAGAATGTATCTGGCTTATTCTTTAGCTCTTGTTCTGCTTTGGTATGTTTCCCCTCTTGCTGTCATCGCATTTACCTATCTAAAGATCAAGAAGCGAATACGAGAAAGTGTAGTATTCCGAAACTCGATGTCGATTGTGGATGACGACAAGGCTGTGATCGTATCACCGTCTTCACAAAGCAAGAAAAGACAGGACAAGCAAGCTTTGAATCAAAGCAATAAAACTAGACGTATTCTCACGCCTTTGGTTATTTTGTTCGCTGTGACAATGCTCCCTTTGAACGTTTACCGCACTGCAATCCTATTTGCACCAGAGTTTTCGAAAAATCCTTATACTGGCCTGATCTTTGGCCAAATCATATTGTTCGTTGGAGTCAATTCATCTATTAATCCAATAGTGTATTACATTGTCAGTAAAGAGTTCAAAGATGCATTCAAGAAAATATTCCAGAAATTGAGAGAAAAGGAATATTTTTTCAAAACTTTCAGTCTTAGAGGCAGAGAAACATCCGCCACATTGGTCAGGGTAAATATCGGACTAGAAAATAATTGGCCACCAAGCAAAAACCTGGACAGAAACAATTCTAACTTAGAACTTCTAAATGCCAATGTTCAGGTTATCAGTGGAGTTTGAAATCATATTGGCCCTGTATGTGACTTTACATTCCTCATATACTCTTATATTCCTCTTACTACGAACCGAGTACGAGGTTCCATAACTTATAACACTGACCGAGAAAACGAGGTTAGTAATGTGTTTATCAGATTTCTTGGTTCAAATAGAGTGCGGAGATTTAATTCAAACAAACGTTCGAATTTAGCAGGGTGACCAATCATAGTGCATGTACTAACTGAGAGGTAAAATGCCTTCGTTGATTCAGTGGCATCATGTAGCCACAATACTGAGTGGTTAACATTGGAAATCTATAATAAGCCTTAATAATGTACATAACGTATCACTAACTGATATTGTATAACTTGTCCTATTAATATATCTCTTTTTTGTTCAGCCAGTTGAGGTTACTGAACGTGATGATGATATAGCGTTGCTTGAATGCATGACCGTAGCACGTGAAACAGTAACGCTAAAGCTCGGTAATTTTAAGAGTGCTAACGACACAACATATCATTAAAAACAAGGATTATTGCAATCGTCTGTGCTATAAAAGTTATGTTATCATGTACTGAACAGGGTTAACCTGAAAAGATTATAAGGAAAGTTTAACAGCTGGGGTTATCTCCTGCATCAAGAAAGCAGTTGTAGATTGGATCAGAGAAATTTTTCTATCCAAGTGAGTTGAATAAGTGGGAAACTGACGTAGATGGGATGGGTGCCATCTGTGTACACTAAATTGCAAAAACGTTGACATCTAAAAAGCATGATCCATGGACGATGAGACCCAACGGCCTTATGGGTAATGTTCGAGCAAATACATAATCAGTGATTCACTTTTCTTACTATTCATTAAGAACCTTCCAGGGAAGCGAGGATAGCTTCTATCATTCACCGCGTATTGATGGAGGTTATCGTGTTACCATGTGTACCAAAAGAGCCATAAGGTCTCTTTGTTCATTGTTAATTGTAAACGCATTTGTAAGTGTCATCGTTTTTGCAATCGATTGCATATAGATGCCAGCCACCTAACCAATATTTTAAATGAAATCCCAGTTTTCTTGAATTATTTTTGTGATGTTACGGGCGATATAACACTACTATAGGCGGCAACTTTTCTTTGAGTCAGTGACAGTCCAGGACGATCTGTCAGGCAGTGTGTAGCACTGCTGAATATGTGTTATCAGCCAAAACTCATACACCTTACGAAACAAAATAAATATGTACGACTTAAACATATCAAGCCTGCTGAATTCTGTTTCGATATTTCCACTTCAAATCTAGACCTATTTTGATCGAGAATCGCCGAAGAGAATGTCATCAGAAACTGAACGTTTTTAGGTGGGTCTTCGTTATCTTAAAAATTAATGATATCTACTCAGTCTGGCTAAGTTGCTGAGCATTAACGTTTTCTATTTTAGGCGCAAGGGCATGTGGATATATACTCAAAGCAAAGAAATGAGCCCTTCTTAGTTAGCAAGGTGGAAAAAAGAATAACATTCTGTTTACAAATACCAGATTATTCAAAATTGGGTTAATTGAATCAGAGAAGTGTTCCTTTTGCGCAATTTACACAGAAGACTTATACCATCTCTTTCATTACTGCTCTTATGTGCGCGCCATTTGGAAGAGGTTTTGCAATTGGTGGTCTAATTTTCTGATTGAAAATTGAAGCTAATCTCTCAAATATGTTATGGTTGGCATTTTAAATAGAAATGATCTGTTAAACTATCAAATAATTCTGGGTAAACTATGTACATGGCACTGTAGAAGAAACAAATCCGTCCCAAAGTTTAATCTGTTTCTACACAAAGTAGAAACTAAGCAGGAGACTGAAAGGCTTATTGCCTCAAGAAACAGGAAACTTCAAGACTTTAGGAAAAGATGGGAACCATCATCATAATATTATTTTATATTGATCTATTTGTTTTATTATTTATTTATTTATTAATTTTTGATACGGCGCGGAGAGAATATGTGGTTGGTTCATTCAAAGTCTGCACTGCTTTTTTTTTTTGTTAACGAACTTAAGTTCCGAGTTTAAGGTCTGTAGTCTACCTCTCATAAATTGTAATTGCCTCACCCAGTGTAAGTATTGTTTAGTATGTAGAGTAAGCTAATTATTGATTTAAAATTCGTAATGCAAGTAGTGTAAGCATCATAATGTTTGTACTGTATATTAATTTAAGAGAGAGATCCTTTTGGTAAGTTGTCTTAAACGTGAGTATTGATAAGTATAAATGGAAATAGGGGTTTTATGAATTGAAGTCACGTAAGCATTGTTAGTATCGTAATTACTGTAAGTGTTTTACGTAGTAGTTTTGCACTGTTGTATGTAAATTAAAAGCTAATTAAAACAATTGTTAAAAGAAAAGGGTGAAAAAAGGACTGACTCACTGACTGGGAAGAAAATTGCGCACTGTCACATGAAAAACAAAAAACATCTTAATAACATCGATTAGCTTTGGAAACCCGATTCTAAACTTTATTTTCCACCAGGGTGTTTCTTGCACTAGGTGATCGCTCTCTAAAAATAGCCTGTTCAAAATGTCTCCACAAGGAGTCGAACCACTGACCTACAGGAAGTACTTTGGACGCTTAAGCAAACATCCTGCTCTTCTCAGTAATAGGATTTAGATGTATCGCTTTACTCGCGTGAGTAAAAGAGAGAAGGTTCTGTTATAGAAAGATTTCCTCTCTTTTCACTCCTTCTGGGTTTACCATGTTTTTCGCCCTGATCGATAGGAAAAGCGAGAAAGATTCATCTTATTCATCTTATGACTGAGACCATTCCTTTGAATCACGTGTCTCGAAAGGCTTGCGAAAAATGGTCATATGAGCCTATAACCGATAAAGTTACATTTGATTTTGCTTAAATCGGCAAACGCAAAAGGTTGCATTGCACAGGTTCCTATTTTGGTATCGCGAAGACAGACTGCAACGTTTGATGAAAATTACTAGAGTGAAAGGAAAAAAAAAAACGGTGAGTGGTTCTTTAGGTTGTCAGCTGCGGTCAAAAGTGGTATTTTTAGAGCGCCAAGTAGTGCGAGACGAATATCACAAGAACCGATTACCGCTGAAGAGATGAAATTTATAGAAACGTTGATGCTGAAGGACTGGTGATTGACCGATTCTAACTCTAACTTTGTTCTGTTTCAACTTGAAATTCAAAGGCTTTCTTAGATGGTCACAAAGCAATCTGATTTCTCGATGGTCGTTAAACGATGAATCGAAAACAAAAACATGCCAGAAAAACAAAGCAGGTAAAAAAATCACTCTCGTGCAGGCTATGCGATTAATTACTCGTAAAAACCAGCGAGTGGCCGAAAACCACGCAACATGAAAAAAAAAAGGAGACATCTCATGTTGCATTTTTGACGAAGTTTCCTGTATAACCGTCCGAGGCTCGTGGCATTGACAACTTGCTCACTAACAGCACCCTTGATTCTCCAGTTTCTTCGTTACCTTGTCTTTTTTGTTCATTTCCAACGTCACTTAGTCGCTTTTGTTTGTTTTTGAAACTGTGCGTGATGAAATTTGACCACAGGATAGGCATAATAACAACCCCCCTCTATAGAAACCGCTGGCATGGTTTTTCTACTTGAAGTATAGCAACATTATTTGTTCAGCTGCTGATAGACGTCAGTAAATAGACGACACAAGCTCGGGTGCACTCACGCGTTAACGCACAGATTTTTCCCTTGTTACGTTTACAGATCACTTGTGGAAAATTTCCACACAAGAATTTACGAAGAGCCCACAACAGGTTAAATTTTTCTTCAGAGGAGAAACCTCAGAAAGTATAATTCCAAGAAAACCTACGTGAGGTATGATCATAACACGTTAAAGTAAATTTACATATCTAAAAGAAACTTCAGTATAGATCAGTTTTTGTTTGGTGCTGGTGAGTTGTTTTTCTCACCTTTTTACGACTGAACATGACAAAAGATCCATAGTTACTTTTAACTCCTGGCATGAGTTAATCATGACATATTTTGCGAGAACGACCTGACGTTTTCACGATACATTCAAAATTAAACGAAATGCTTCTCCAAGAAGAGTAAACTTCGGATATTTTGACAAACAAACGCTAAGTATTACTACACGGTAAGATATCATGGAACAACAAAAGACTAGAAACAATCAAAACAACTTGTTCGAGTGTTATTCTCATTGTATTAACTGACTTTGAATGCACAGAATCTGAATCACCAAAACAAAATTCGAACGACTCTCAATTTCAAGAGATTCAAAAAGAAAAAAGGAAATGATATTTTTGAATATCATTCAGGCTTACAAAACATATGATACCGAACGATACTTTTATCATTTTCTACTGCGGTGAAGAGGTTTGCGCAACCAGCTCGTTAGCATCCCAAATTGTATATTAAGTACCCTTTAATTCACGTTTTTTTTTTCATTTTCATCTCACCCACTCCTGACTCGAATTTGCAGAACTTTTCGTTATAAAGAATTCATCCGAGGGAAGACAGACTTAGCTAAAATCGTATAGAAGAGAAAACTGGCTAAAAATGGTCTTTCTGTGTACGTGTCTGGACTGCTCTGTAATTCATCACCCTCAGGTCAAGAAATAATTATTCTCAAAATGATTGAAATTCATTTGTAATGCCATCTTAAGTCTACCGGCAACGAAAACCCCATAAAAATTTCTCTGCTCTCAACTTGTGGCTTCGATGTTCAATTGCCGGCACTACGCACCCAAACTATTCAGGGAGGCATTAGTTTAGGCGCAATCTTGAATTAATTTTTTCAAAGCTTTTTCTTCCTCTTTTACGTGCGAAGATTAATTCGTCACTCATCATTTACAAGTCAAATATAATTCGATTCATTAATCATTTTTGAATGAGTGTTCTTTTGTTCTAAATTAAAGAAGGCATCTTTTAGACACACGACATATTATGCACTACAAAGTTTTTGAAAGTAACGACGTCACAAGCGCGCATCTTAACCATTTAACTCCCATGAGTGACCAAGACAGAATTTCTCCTCAGAATATCAATATAATATCAAGCAGACAAGTAATGAGAATAAAGGAAAATATCAATCAGGGGATTATTAGTTGATCCAGTACAAATTCTCCGAACTAACTTCGTGGCCATTATATGGTAAACAGTAAGAAGAACTATTAAGCTTATTTTTTTGTAATCTTCTCCATTCTGTATCCTACTTCCTTTTTGATTGATTCTTACCTTTTCGGCGCCTTTGTTTTATGAAAATTTGAAAAGTTTATGAGACCCTTTTTAAGTTAATCAAACTGATTTCTTTCTTCGAAGGAAAAAAAAGGCACAGGTAATGTAGTGCGAGGTAATGACGGCCATCAATGTCTGACTGAGTTAATCATAGCCATTTGAAAGATGTTCAGCTTTTCCTTCAGCTTTCAGAGATGTTTTTTTTTTTGCAATTACGCCTACAAGGAAATGGAAGACCACGCGCCACATTATGCATGCTGCGAATTGTCGTGTTTTTTTTTCACGGAAGTGAGTCAAATGAAAGAACGAAATTTAGTGAACTCGGTCCACGACGATATGTTAATGACGTTTCCTTTAGATTTCAGTGAGTTTTTTTCAATTAGGCTTACGAGGAAATGGAAGACTACAGGCCACATTATGCAGGCTGTGATTTTTGGTTGTTTTCTCTTATGGAAGTATAGATCAAATCAATCGAAGACGAATGATCAGTGGGAGAACTTTTACTAAACGTTAAAAAAAAAATACTGATAATGACAAATATAAATTGAAGAAAGCAAAACTAAACAAAAGAAATGAAGAAATAACCTCTCGTATAAGCTCTCTTTACGTAGCGATATTTAAATCGGTGATCGAAGTACTTCCATGATCTCAAATAACTAGGGTATCTTGCAGTTGACGTAAGGTCCATTTAAGGTTTATTTGTCAGTTTTGCACCTCGCATCCTGTATTGTGCTTAATAACCACGTACGTAATCACGGGAATGAACGTGCGCGCATTCTGAGAACACGGTATTGTTTTTCAATCCACGGACCAGATAAAAGGGTACGATGGTCTTAAGCTCTTGAACGACTACGGTGACCAATCTTTTTTATTGCATTTTTCGAAACAGACATTGTAGGGAACATTTAAGGAAAGTTTAAAAGAAATTGTTCGATAACTTTAATTTTCTGAGGACTCACCTTAAAGTAGAACTGCAACGCGTGCGTAGGAGAAACTTTTTTTGATATTCTGCCAGATTTGACTCTTACA